AGCTTTGTGAAATAATGGTGGTTTTAATAGAATCGTCCAGGTTTGACAAATTTTACCCAACTCATCTAAAGTCAGCTTTAAAGGCTGTTACCCAATGTTGGTCCCAACCATCTGTGGTCTTGGGTGGCATGGACTGGATATTCACCTAATCTTTGCTATCATTTGCTCTCAGACTCAAAGTCAACTTAGCCTCAAACACAACTAACTTGTTTTAAATTCAAACATCATTGTTGTGCTCTATTTTCTCTCCCTTTAGCATCTTTAACACCTTCCTTCCTGCCATTTCTCCTATAAAAACACTCACATTATCAATCACTATTCACTGTAACTATGTATGAAGAAGATATTAAAGCGTCAGTCAGAAGCATTATCTAATTCTACCATCACCACAATGTTACACGCCCAATCTTACACATCATCATCATCATCTAAGCCGTATCCCAACTATATGGAGTTGGCTACATGAATCATGTTTTGCCATTCCATTCTGTTTAATGTCATATCCATTGTTAAATTATCAGCACTTAAATAATTTCTTACCATTATCCATGTCCTTTATGGTCTACTCCTAGTCCTAGTCCTTCTAGCCCCCGTAACTTGCAACAAATCACTTCTTATTGGTTCTGTTAATGGTCTTCTATGCATGCGACCAAACCATCTTAGTGGTCTTCTTTCGAATGGCTTCATTTTTGATCCTGTCCTTTCTAGTTTTTCCACTCATTTGTTTCAATATACACATTTCTGTCAAATTCATTTTTTGGACATGTTTCATGGTTGTCCACTCTGCTCCATAATTATAGCTGGATAACAACTGTTTAATAGAACTTTCCTTTTAATCTATCTGGTATTTTCCTATCATATTAAACTCCAGATGCACCCATCTGTTTTGCTTATGCAGCTCTAAGTCCTTGGGCACATCCTCCCCAATCTCTCCTTTATTATGAATTATCAAACCGGGTACTGGAAAAGGTCGTGCTGAATTATCCCAGCATCTCCAATCCTAGGTGCATGTTATAGTCCTCCTTTTTTCAAAACCCCTTGTTTTTAACACATTAGTCAATTTGAACAACGTAATTATTAAACATCATGCACCATGTTGAAACCACTAGAGTCAAATGAAACACTAAAATTAGACTCTACCAGTTGTCAACATTTTGCAGCATTGCAAGCTTTTGTTGGAACCTGAGAACACCCTATCTGAAGTTCTAAGTTATTAGCAGTTTTGTCAAAACTGAACCAATGACCTGGTGACCCATCTGGTTGAACAGTTGAACCACTTGACCCAGTCAATGAGTCATGGCCCAGACTTTTTCTCTTTTTAGACATTTCTATATTAATAACAATAGTTCTCATTTGTCACTCTTTTTACTTAATGTTGTATATATATTGTTAGATACATTTCCAGTTTTTATTTTCTTTAATATTCTTTATTTTTCCACGTCTATATATTTTTCTTTTTTCTTTTTTGATTTTCGATATCCTGGGTGGACCTAGATTGTAGAACTGCTGATCTTTCACCAAGATGGAAAAGTGGTTCCATTTCCTGATTAGTTTTTAAAACACTGGACTGAACTGGACATTGACCTGCTTGATGTGCTGAAACTTGTAACTCATCCTTTGGACCTATTTTATATCAATATATATTGTAACATACTAACACATGGTACGTTTTTTGTTTATGGAGACTTTTATAATTCGAACAATTTAAATACCAGTAACTTATAACTCAGCCCAGGGGCTGGGTGATTTTCTGAAAGGTCGGATTGTCAAATTTGTTCTGAATGGCTCCATCCTTATATCTTAGTGCAAGCTTAAACTAGTATATTGGCTCTGGACCTTCTGGTCTTGTAGGTTTTGTGATTTGATCTAACTAAAATATTGCTGCTTAACATTCTTTATAGGGGCTTGGTATCTTTGATGTTTTAATAAAATCTACTAGAAAAAAAATTCAGCAGATTGCATTTGGATATTTCTAGATGCAATTGGAATTGAACGTATTAGCTATGTTATTTGCTAGGGGTTTTCTAACAGTTTTTCAAAATATACTAAAATTTCAAGTTTCTGAACCAGTTTCTTTATTTTCCTGCTTTCCACACGGAATGCTTAAACATACATCCATCCAAAGAGCTTTGTCCAAAAGGTTGTAAAACCACTTTCCAAATAATCACTTTAGGAAGGTTTTTTACCCTACCTTTGGCTGTGATATCACTTTTTTGCCTTGCATCCATATATAAGAGCAAGATTTTTTTTTTTAAGCTATTTAAGTCATAACTACATTCTTACACCTCTGGGTTTTTCACCCTAGCTTTGTGCAGTATTATGTCCTTTGGTTGTGATATCTCTTGTTTTGCTTCTTGTCCTTGCATTTATATACAAGTGATACAGAGCAAGATGTTTTTTACTCTACTCAAGTCATAACTACATTCTTACACCCCTAGGTTTTTCACCTTACCTTTGGGCTGCGTATCCCTTTTGGCTGTGATCTCTTTTATGCTTTTTGTTCTTGCATTTGTATATGAATGCAGAGAAAGATTTTTTTAATCTATTCAAGTCATTACTTCTTTCTTACACCCCTATTATTGCCTGGATTGTGCACAAGTGTCTGAAGGTTGGCATGTATTTGACTTACCAAGATGAATTGAACTCCAATTAGTATCGGCATCTTTACTGAATGCACAGCTGAGGTTAATTACCCTGGAACCTTTTCAGAATTTAGACTTAACAAGCGTTGTATGGTTTAATCATCAAGTGGCACATGATAATGGTGATGATAATTTTGCTTGTGTCGTGTGCTTGGTACTCTTCTTCTTTTCTATGGTTGTATGGTGATTGTAGAGATTAGAGATGACTCCTTTTTTCTCACTTCAGCTTTGGAACAGTTTATTGTCTTTTCTATTGGGTTTTCCTCTTTAATAAAATTGTTGTGGTTTCATGTTTCCTAAATCATTTTATTTGAAAATTGATCCGTTATAATTTTTCCGGAAACAATGAAGAAGAGTCATAAAGAAAGTTTACTTCCAGCACAGTGCCCTGTTCCTGAACCTGAATCTCCTGCAAGTTCCAAAGGGGTTGAGCAACCTAGTCCTATTTCAGTTCTGGAACCACCATTTGCAGAAGAGACAACATCTGGTTCTGAGTGTTTTGAGCAAATCAGTGCTGACCTCCATGGTTAGTGACTCAAATTAATTCATCTATCATATGATTTTAACCATTTCTACATGTTAATTTTCCCATATTCTCCCTACTAGGTCTTCGTCTGCAACTTCAACTTCTCAAGTTAGAGTCATCAGATACGTATGAGGGACTTGAAGTGGCTGTCTCAAGTGATGAAGAGACTGGAGAAGGCTCCTTCGGTGTTATGGGGTTGGAAGAAATTGCAGTAAAGTTTAGAATTGAAGAGAATAAATGCTTTAGTTACCTAGTTGATATGTTGCTCGACTCAGATTTATATTTACGTGATGTGGACCGTGAATTGGCATTATCGACCTGGTACTCCTCAGAATGTCCTGTCAGTCCTTTGGTATTTGAGAAGCTAGAGAAGAAGTATGACGAGCAGACATGGTTGAGGTCAGATAGAAGGCTATTGTTTGATCGTATAAATGAAGGGTTGATGGAGATTTTCGGGCCACAGATAGACCCACATCCCTGGGTGAAATCATCAATTAAAATGGTTTGCCTTGGGTGGGGCAGAGAATCACTCGTGGAAGAGCTATGGAAGTGGCTGGTTTGCCAGGAAAGAGACGTCAGTGTTGATTCACCAGAGAAAATTCTAGGTAGAGACGTGTGCTTGGAGCTTGGGGATGATATTGAGGTGGTGGGTACAGAAATTGAGAGGTTGTTGTTCGATGAGTTGATTGGAGAGAGCGTGCAAAGAAACCCTAGGCCAGGACTGTTCTAGACCGATTTGATACAACATGCTTATAGTAAAATATACATGTATCAAAAAGAGCTCAGTTAAGAAGGGAATAATAAGCAAATCAGGAATATAATGCAAAGGAAAAAATCTAAGCAATTGTAATTTGTAACATCTTCAACGATTGAATTGTCATCTTTTGCATATATGTTCATATATGAAAGTTTTATGTTTAGTTGATATTAGATTCAAGTCAAAGACTAATTCTTTTATCTCTGTAGTGGGAAGAAAACCAAGAGTGGCTTAAACTAGCAAAAGAAGGAATGGTATCCGCGAAAAACCAAGTACGGACAACTTTGGGGTGTTGGACAACATGGATTGTTTTGTTTTTAAAAACAAAGACAACTGCCACATCATGAAAATTCTATTGATTTCACTGATGATCCCATGTGAGCTTTGGGGAAGAAAATCTGTCTACCAGACCAGAACAAGCATGTAGAACCACTTGCAAACGTGGACATACCAGACCTTTCTTTTCTCCAGATCCACAAACAAAGACAGCCATTTCCTGCATTAACCCTAAAACTTTGCATGAAGTCAGAAACGCAGATGGTCGTAAACTTGTAATATGGTGTTCTAGCTGATGAATGTCAATAGGTGTGATTAAAACATGAGATGTTTTCAATGTGCAGCTGTAGTGATGTGGGTATGATAGGGTTCTTGAGTATAGGAGATCCAAACATGATTAAAACAACTTCACACTATGTGTGGGTGGGAGATCCGAACACGATTTAGAAAATGACACCCCTTGCTCTAGTCCACAAGCTTTTTTGTCCCAAATCCAAAGCAGTTGAAGTGTTGAAACCCTCCTTGATAACAAAGTTGCCAAGGGACCCTCTTTATCGGTTGCTTAGTTGAAACCCTCCTTGATAACAAAGTTGCCAAGGGACCCTCTTCCATTTTTCACATATGTGGTTATTTTTTTAAATTAAATTATTAAAAATGTAACAAGTAAAAAAAAAAACATTATGGGCCTTTATTATCTCTCATAATTCTTTTTAATAAGATCATTTTTTTTAAATAATTTATAACATCTCCCCTCCCCGTTAAATCCCCTTTTTTATATCTCTCAACCAATTTTAAGTGGGTGTAATAAATGGAATGGTTAACCCAAACTATTGTCCAAACCCAAATTTAAACAACCAAATTTCCATTTAACCCCATGCGTTGCGTTGCATGCCTTTACTTACTTAGTTTATATTTAAAGATGATGGTTTAGGTTTCGTAGTTCTAACTAAAACATCACAGTGATGGAGGAACCACAAGCACCAACTCCAATTCATGAAATCCACACCATCCACCGCTGCGATTGATTCTTCTTTCTTCCCATCCATCAGTATATATATAGAAACTCTTAACCCATCCTTCAGTAGGATCTTATCTTGAATTCAGAATTTTGGATTTCTTCGGAATCTTTCTCACAATTTGTAACAAGTAATATGGAATTCCCCAAATCCCTCTCCAGGACAGTCAGGATTACTGCCTACCTACTGTTACTAGCCCTCGCTGTCACATGTGCCACCTCAGCTCGAATACAGGACGAACAATTATCCCCTCCGGTTCCAGTGGCTCCGGCAACAGCACCGGAGACACCCGATCCAGTTGAAACGCGAGTCCCCGATATAGCACCTGTGTCCACTTCTGTCACTACTGATGTGGCACCTGGGGGCCCACCAGCCATCAAACAACCAGATGTTGCTTCTTCTGCATCTACCAGTGCCACCATGGTGAATGCGGACCCCCAGCACCCATTGTCGTTCTTCATGCATGACATACTTGGTGGGTCGAACCCCTCTGCCCGAGCCGTGACGGGAATTGTAAACAACCCAGCGATGAACGGTCAGGTTCCCTTTGCCAGACCAAACGGTGCAGTACTCCCCGTCAACAATGGCATTCCCCTCAACAGCGACAACAGCGCAATTATCAACAACAACAACATTCCATTCCTCACCGGCCTTGGAGGCAGTTCATCAACTGTCATTCAGAACAATGGTAACAACGTCATAAATGGTGGTTTCGGGGTTCCTTTGGTGAATGGAGCCCAGCTTCCTGCAGGGACCACCATCCAGAAGCTCATGTTCGGGACGATGACTGTGATCGACGATGAGCTGACTGAAGGTCATGAGCTAGGATCCGGTTTGGTTGGAAAGGCACAAGGGTTCTACGTGGCCAGCTCGGAGGACGGTACCAGCCAGACCATGGCATTCATCGCCATGTTCCAAAGCGGCAATTACGCTGACAGCCTGAGTTTCTTCGGGGTCCATCGCACCGCCGTCTCGGAATCTCAACTGGCCGTTATGGGTGGCACCGGAAAGTATGTAAATGCCAAGGGATACGCCACGGTGAAGACCATTCCTTCCGTGAACCACCATGAGACCGATGGAGCGGAGACTTTGCTGGAATTTACTGTCTATCTCACCTATTAAATTTAAACATTAATTGCTTGTGAATTGTGAAATATGTCGAACATCTTCTCTGTCTATATAAGAAGAGACATCAAAGGGTCGGTACCTATATTTCTTGGTGTTGTTGATTATGTGGATATAGGTAAAGTTTGGATTATTGGGACGTTCGTCTTTCTTTTTTCTTTTGAATGTATGGAGTTGGGGTCTTGGAAATTCTAATTCCCTCTTAATTTCATAAATTGTTGCTTTTGAACTTTAAATGAATTCACACCTGCGCCCTCTGTCCCACAAACGCCCCACAACTCAGATGTGATCTCCGAAGCTACTGCTGTCAAATATTGAAATCAAATAAGAAGGAACAACCCCAATCAAATGCATTGGTAGTGACATTTCTTTATTAGCCTTAATTACGTACGGTTATGGAGTTATAAAATCTCTGGTTTTCTTACTTTTCCTTTTGCACATTTTATCCTCGTATCCGGTTCGAGTACGTCTCAGGTGACTTTGATCGTCACCATGAACAACAGGGTAAATTACAATTACCTCTCTTGTAATATATAAGGTCAGTGACAAAGACCCTTATAATTTAATTTACAACAAGGATCTTTTTGTATTTGGGTAAATTTCTTAAACTACCTTTATGGTTCAGTTAATTGAATTTGGATAAATTTTGAATTTGAAAATTGACTAACAGTATTCCTATCGTTTCTAACAATTGACTAACTCTACCCTTATCGGAGTCTTTACACCGGGTTCTCCCCGAAGCTTCTTCATCTCCTCCGTTTCAGGTCCCCCGCTACTCGACTCAGAGGCAAGGTCGTTGACAGCTAAGACCGGCCGGATTGCACATCATCAATTGGCGCCGTCTGTGGGAAACGCTTCAAAAAGCCTCCCTCCAAACTCTCATACCCCTTTTTTCTTCTTCAAAAAACCCAACACTCATGGCCTCTTCCAGCAACGCCGG